CAGTCAAGAAATCAAAAGCAGCAGCATTGCACTGCTGCAAAAAACCCTCTTTGGTGTGTTAAAAGCAAAGATGTCACTTTAAGGACTAAGGTGCACCTGACCCAAGCCATGGTGTTTTCCATCACCTCATATGCATGCGAAAGCTGGACAAGGAATAAGGAAGACAGAAGAAGAATTGACGCCTTTGAATTATAGTGTTGGCAAACAATATTGAATATACTATGGACTGCCAAAAGAATGAACAAATCTGTTTTGGAAGAATAGGCAGAATGCTCCCTAGAAGTGAGGCTTGTTACTTCCCTAATAAACCCTATAACTGTAAGTACAGTTTGTGAGTTCTCTGTGGACATTGCAATGAATTATCAAACCCAACAGAGAAGTAGAGAGTGCCATGGGAGGGATGACTCGTGTCAGAACTGGTAGAAAGTTTGGAGGGTGGAGGTAAGTCTGACCTTCACCTCATAGCAATCAGCCTTGGGCTGTTTTGCTGATGGTGATTCTTTTTCCCCCTTGAGAATTTAGAGAAGATCAGATGCCCCGCTCGGCAATTTTTACAGATACTTTGAGGCTCTCAGTGGAAGAGTGAGTGTCAGTGCAGAGAGGCCAGGGAGAAGGCTTTCTTCATCTAGACCAGGGGTCAGAAATATTTTCAGTAATGGGCCAGACAGTTCATATTTTCAGCTTTGTGGGCCTCACGGTCTTTGTCACAACTTTTCAACTCTGCTGGTGTACTGCCAAAGCAAAATGAATGAGTGTGGGTGTGTTTCAATTAAACTCTTTTGCTAGCTGCCATGGAGTTGGCTCCGAATCATAGTGACCTTACCTGTAACAGAATGAAACATGGACTAGTCCCTCGTTATCTCTGTGATCACTGGTGTGTTGGATTCCACTGTTGTGGTATTGGGTCAATCCATCTCACTGAGGGTTTCCCTCATTTTTGCTGACCCTGTGCTTTACCAAACATGATGTCCTTTTCTAGTGATTGGTCTTTCCTGATGACATGTCCAAAGTAAGCAAGACGAAGCTTCCCTATTGTCTTAGTCATCTAGTGCTGCTGTAACAGAAATACCACAGGTGGGTGGCTTTAACAAACAGAAGTTTATTCTCTCACAGTCTAGTAGGCTAGAAGGCCAAGTTCAGGGCATCAGCTCTAAGGGAAGGCTTTCTCTGTCTGCTCTGGAGGAAGGTCCTTGTCGTCAATCTTCTCCTGGACTAGGAGCTTCTCTGTGCAGGAACCTCAGGTTCAAAGGACGCACTTTGCTCCTGTGCTGCTTTCTTGGTGGTATGAGGTCCCCGTCTCTCTGCTAGCTTCTTTTATATTTCAAAAGAGATTGGCTCAAGACACAATTCAATCTTGTAGATTGAGTCCTGCCTCATTAACATAACTGCTACGTATCCTACCTCATTGACATCATAGAGGTAGGATTTGTAACACATACGAAAATCACATCAGACGACAAAATGACAAAATGGTGGACCATCACACAATGCTGGGAACCGTGGCCGAGCCAAACTGATACATGGATTTTTGGGGGACACAATTCAATACAGGACACCTATCCTTGCTTCTAAGGAGCATTCTGGTTTTACTTTAAACTATATTTAGGATTCCAGCTGAATATGGAAATTATCAAACAACATCATTAATATCATATGCAAGGAAAATTTTACTGAAGATCACTGAAAAGTGGTTGTAGCAGTACATCGACAGCAGCAGTACGCTGACAGGGAACTGCCAGAAATTCAAGCTGGATTCAGAACAGGACGTGGAACGAGGGAGATCATTGCTGATGTCACATGGATCTTGGCTGAAAGCAGAAAATACCAGAAAGATGTTTACCTGTGTTTTATTGACTATGCAAAGGCATTTGACAGTGTGGATCATAACAAATTATGGATAACATTGCAAAGAATGGGAATTCCAGAACACTTAACTGTGCTCATGAGGAACCTGTACATGACCAAGAGGCAGTTGTTCGAACAGAACAAGGGGACACTGCATGGTTTAAAGTCAGGAAAGGTGTGCGTCAAGGTTGTATCCTTTCACCATATTTATTCAATCTGTATGTTGAGCAAATAGTCTAAGAAGCTGCACTATATGAAGAAGAATGTGGCTTCAGGATTGGAGAAAGACTCATTAACAACCTTGCTTACTGAAAGTGCAGAGGACTTGAAGCACTTACTGATGAAGATCAAAGACTACAGGCTTCAGTACGTATTACACCTCAACATAAAAAAAACCAAAATCCTCACAACTGGACCAATCAGCAACATCATGATAAACGGAGAAAAGAGTGAGGTTGTCAAGGATTTCACTTCACTTAGATCCACAATCCACACCCATGGAAGCAGCAGTCAGGAAATCAAACCACGCATTGCATCGGGCAAATTGACTGCAAGAGATCCCTTTAAAGTGTTGAAAAGGCAAAGATGTCCCCTTGAGGACTAAGGTGCGCCTGACCCAAGCCGTGGTGTTTTCCGTCGCCTCGTACACACGTCAGAGCTGGACAACGAATAAGGAAGACTGAAGAAGAACTGATGCCTTTGAATTGTGGTGTTGGTAAAGAATATAGAATATACCGTGGACTGCCCAAAGAACGAACAAATCTGTCTTGGAAAAAGTACAGCCAGAATGCTACTTAGAAGCAAGAATGGGGAGAGTACGTCTCACATACTTTGGACATGTTATCAGGAGGGATCAGTCCCTGGAGAAGGACATCATGCTTGGTAAAGTAGAGGGTCAGCGAAAAAGAGGAAGACCCTGGACAAGATGGATTGACACAGTGACTGCAACAATGGGCTCGAGCACAGCAACAATTGTGAGGCTGGCGCAGGACCAGGCAGTGTTTCATTCTGTTGTACACTGGGTCACTATGAGTTGGAACCGACTTGACAGCACCTCACAACAACAAAATTTGGATTTCATGTAATTTTCACATGAAAATAAAGAATATTAAGATATTATTCTTATTTTGAGATGCATAAACCTGCTCAGCTTGTGGGCTGTGCAAAAACTGGTGACGGGTGGATGTGGCCTGCTGCCATCGCTTGCTGACCCCTGGTGTATACAACAAATACCAACCATTGCTGTGAGCCAGGCAGCGTCGAGGAGACGGCTCCATCACGCAGAGTAAAAAAAGCAAAACAAAACAAAACCCAAACCAAAAACACTCAGTTCCCAAGGAGCTTAGATAAGAAAGTAAATGATAGAGGTCGTGAAAAGGTCCTAAGTCCTCACCTGCCCTGTTCATCCAGAAGAGTCAGGACCACCCCGCACAGCAGCAGAGGAGGTGGGAGGGGTCTGGAACCCCGGCGCGGGGCGGGTGTGGAGTGGGCTGGGGGAGATTGAACTGTTAAGAGACAGGGGGAGATTGGGAGGCTCAGAGCAGAGGGGTGCATGTCCCGACTCGCGTTACTGAACTAAACCATAACTGCTTAAGGAACAAATTCCTGGTTATTACGTTCAGACTTTCAAAGTGAACATTTCATTTTTGTATGCAGTAAGCTGTGGTGTAGAACGTGGCCACACACAAGAGGCCACATTCAGCCTGCAAGGTTTATTTGCTCTGCACAGAAGTTTGCATTAGTTTTCAACACTTAGAAGCCGAGATTTTACATTAAAATCCACAGGCCAGATTCCTGGGTGGTGAGTACTTGATCCCTGCCCCCTCCAGTCCAAGGGGCTGCTCAGAAACCCTCCCACCTACTCTTACACCCCTGCTTCCTTGGCCTCTCAACACCTGCTGGACCACAGATTTAATCCCTGCTCTACCATCAAACTGGACAATGAATAAGGAAAACTGAAGAACTGACACCTCTTAATTAGGGTGTTAGTGAAGAATATCGAACATACCATGGACTGCCAAAAGACCCAACAAATCTGTCTTGGAAGAAGTACAGACAGAATGCTCCTTAGAAGAGAGGCTGGGGCGACTTTGTCTCACATCGTTTGGACATGTTATCAGGAGGGATCCGTCCCTAGAGAGACATCATACTTGGTATAAAGTAGAGGGCAGGGAAGAAGAGGAAGCCCCTCAATGAGATGAATTGACACAGTGGCTGCAACAATGGGCTCAAACATAGCAATCACAGAGATGACACAAGAGTGCGCAGCGTTTCCTTATGCTGCACCTAGGGTGGCGATGAGCCAGCACCTACCGAGGACACCTAACAAAAACAGTAACTGCCATCAAGTACTCGGCTGCTAACCCAAAGGTCAGCAGTTTGTATCCACCGGCGCTCCTTGGAAACAACGGGGCAGTTCTCCTCTGTCCTGTAGGGTCGCTATGAGTCGGAATCAACTCAACAGCAACGGTTTTTTTTTTTTTTTTCCCCTACCGTCAACGAGGCCAAGGCCGCCGCGGGCGCACCTTATCGTCTTAGACTTAAGAGCTTAAACAGAACAGAGGCCCGAACCCGACAGCGTCGGTGCAGAGCCGGTGGGACCCGCTAGGAGGGGCCTCAGGTGCAGGTGAGCCGAGGTCCAGGTGGGACTCACAGTCCGGGGCGGGTGTGGGTACCTCGAGCCGCACAGCGCCGGCGCGGACACCGGGGCCCAGCGGCCCGTGGACACCGCGGGGAAGCCCGTGGTTCGCTGAGGCTTCGGGGGCCCGGGTGAGCGCACCCGCGCGCACCTGCCCCCATCTACCGCCTTCCGTGAGCGCCTCAGCCCTTCCGCAGACCCGCCTCACCAAGAACGGGCGGGCACGTGCGCGGCGGGCCCTCGCGGGACAGCCACGCGGCACGCAAGACTGGCCTTCCTGCCGCCTCGGGCCCGGAAGTCCCCACGGGCCGCCTGCTCCTGGCCGGCCGGAAACCCCCCGGCGGCAGTTGACTGGGCGCACGGCAGCCGCCAACGACCGCGCAGACAGAAACCGCCAGCCCCGCCCCCCGCTTCCTCCAGTCCCGCCCCCGCCTTCCCCGCCCCCTGCGGACCCTAGGCTCCGCCTCTTGCAGGCCCCTCCCCACTCCGGGTCTCTCCAATAGCGTCAGCCCGACCGCTAGCCCGCGGGAAGAGGGGCGGGGCGTGGGGGTACTGCGCCTGCGCGCTCTGGCACCGCCCCCACCACGTGGTTTACGAGGGGTCTGCTGGACGGAAAAGGGCCTGCTTCCGGAGGCGGTGCGGGGGCAGGGGAAGCGGTGCTACAATCGGTGGCGTCATAGGGATGGTGCCGGGGCGGGGAGGTGCTGTGTCCGGCGACATAGCGGGGCTTGGGAGGGGGAGGGGCTGTTTGTGGAGGCGTCTTGGGGGCGGGGTTTGGGCTGAGGCGTGCAGGGGGCGGTGCCGTAGGCGGTGCTTCGTCCGGCTGCGGCTGAGGCGTCGGTCCTGGGCAAAGGAGGCGCTGCGTCCGGTTTAGCCGTCGCCGGGGCGGGGCCGAGGATGGTGCTACCTTATACGGCGGCCGCATAGGGGCGGAGCCAGGAGTGGTGTGCGCCGGGAGAAGCGTCGGGGGCGGGCCGTGGGCGTGGCGGCGCTGCGTCCGGCGTCCGCGTCCCGGGGGCGGGGCTTGGGTGGTGGCGTCGTCGCTGGCCGGCGGGCG